CTGTCTTTCATATTCTGATGCTCAGTTTGATCTCCAACAGGTGGTCTCAGATGCCTCTACATGCCTAAATACGTTGAGTTGCTCTTTGTTTTAAGGACTAGTTGAAAACTCGTACCTAGTATAGTGGTGAGTACACAACAAGGTAGTCTAATCATGTTCTGAAGAAGACCAGTAAACAAAATTTTACAGCTCTGCTATATCAGCCAGCATCTATTAAAGCATCTTATTGGATCCTTTGTTCAATTGTTGGTGGTGGTTTTAGATTTGAAATAGGTAATGTTTAGAAAAAATATGTTATCTACATCATATATTCCCTTAAACAAGACAATATATTAAAATTCAGTCTGACTAAAATGTTAATCCCTCAACTCTGATGTGCTGAAATGATCTTTTTAGATTTTTTTTTTTAAACATTTTTGTGTATGCTGTGTATAGTGGCCGGTAACAAACACAGACAATGGGAGCTTGTGTCTGAGAGGTTTACAGTGTTATTCTCAAAGTCATTGCTCCCCCTTGCTAAGAGAGTTGGTTGAGGCAGAAATCTGATAACAACTTTGTGGGGAAGATGAAAGATGTTCGTGTGAAACAGCTGAAACAAATGCCCCTGTATGCTCTCCTCTCTTTGTCCCTGTCTGCTGATAGATGGAAAGTGTTCCCCTTCCAGTTTAGTCATCCCTCTCACAAGAAAATGTGTTAAGCATACCATATGTAACAAATGCTCTCTCTTCATCTTTATTTCATGCACTCTGTTCCTGTTTTTGAGTGTGTTTGTGTGTTAGGGTCCTCCAACTCCCTTTAAATTCTGCAAAGGTTATTATATATATATATAAGTTATATTCAGCTTATGCTATGAAGCACTGTGCAGATTTCTATGCATTCTCACACACGTGTTTCCACTTTAATTACACACTTTTTTTTACATTATTTCTCATTTGTTACAATTTTTATTAGGTGACTTTTGCAGTGATTTAACTAGAGTACGCTGTGCTAATGCACTGGAGCAGACTAAGTATAGTTAAGGGTGTTTTTAAATCCCCAATGTCGTCAGTGAGCTGGGTCTAATTCATAAACCATAAACAAGAAAAAGGAAATGCAGAAAGAAAGTCCACAGTACCAAGACTGTGTAGGAAACATGGGATAATAAACTCACTAAACATCAGGACTTTCTTCTCTTTTCATTACTAATTGCCAGCTTCTTCTGCAGCTACTGTAGCTTTACATCTGCACCTGGTTTTATCTGTGTCAGGCGATGTTCTGTTTCAAGGTAAAAACTCATTAATACTAGTGATAAGTACTACTGGAGGGAGTTAAAGTGCAGCTATTAAATGTTTAATATTTTCTGTGTCATATATTTAAAACAATATTCTGATTTTCTTTTTCTTTTCTTTTTTACATGAACACTTTTTTGTAATTTTTCTTTATGACACCACCACAATTCAATGTGTATAATCAAGGCTTAACTGCAGTGCAGGCTTTAAGTTAACAAACTAACATCATTTTACATACAAGGGCTGTTTTTAATACATGAATGAAAATGCATTGCAGAATCCATGACCATCACCAAATACTGTTTCTTTCCTTGCGATGCTCTGTCAGGCCTTTACTGCAGCTACCTTCAGTTTCTGCTTCTTTGTTTGATCATAGTAGAGATTCAAGCACTTCACAGTTCATCCTGATACTTCTATTAGCAGTCACATCATCAGTGACGGCCATATAAGTCCATCTTATAATGCTGCCTCTGATGCATTATGTTTCATATCATTAGGCGCTCCTTTCCTTCTCCATACTGTTTTCTTCCCAACATGCTGGTTGTAACTTGCTGTAAACACTCTATGCTTAAATTCATTGTAGACTTTGACAATGGCGTGCCTACCTCCTCCTGTTGTTGAATTGGATAGATGTTGTGAAGTTGTTTTTCTTAACCACAGGAATACTTCTATTATTCATGACTTCTCCTGTGTTTCAGGTCTTTTGGTGTCAGTGAATCAATCAATACTCTGACCAGAATGTAAGAATGTATCAGATTTGTGTCACTTTCAAAAACTTATGGGTCTCACTGCATACACCTTTGGAAGGTGACGCTAATTTTAAACATTACATTTGAAATAATGAGGTAAGCGTACGTACAAGTAATCCCTGTGAGCCCAAGGTTCAGACTTTAGACTGCTCTAAACACCAGGTTTCTGACAAGTTTTATAACTCTTAAATATGTGTTATGTAAAAAAAAAAAAGTTTTTTTTCAGACCATGAACAGCCAAAAGGCAGCATGTTTGTTTGTTCAGACCACTTCCCAGGGGACTCTTGTGAACAGGACCTATGTGAAGCTAGATGTTCAACCAACCTAATGCTAAGAGAAAGCTACTTTATAAAGAGAGATGTGGAGAAGTCAGACCCACAAGCTGTAAACATATCACTGAAATACTTTTCTGGTAGGGAAAACTGGACAGCATGAATTGTGACTGAAGCTTTAGTTAAGACCATGGGCATGATTATAATGTAGCCGAGCTGCTCTTTGTAATTCTTCTATCACTTGCTAGCTTTGTGTATAACAAATGATAGCCCAGGGAGATAATATACAGACACTTAGAATCAGCAGGATAACATTTTGCTACTTTAACTGTGGTATTTCCACAGAGCCCACGTTTTCATATGAAAAGGGAGTTAGGGTAATTCCCTCACATCACCTCACCTATTACCAGGGACATGAGTATTTAGACACTGTTTGATACAGCTTGGTACTGAAGAATTAAGTCTACTGTTATATCCCATGGTGTGCAGGTATTCAGTGTAATATTTCCACTGCTGTAATCTTTGCTCCTGTAAAAGGTGCCACATTTATATTCAAGTTTGGGAAGTACTAGAACTAGGAACTAGCAGTAGAACTAAATGACAGTAGCTGTGTCAAGGCTAAGTACCAGAACATTTGGGGGTACTTTTTTAACCATGCAAAGCTACCCTAGTAGAGTCCAAGAAAAAAAGAAAATTAGCTCCTCTTTAACCAAGTGGTGGAAAATATGAGGGTACTACCAAAAAATGCACTATTATAGCTGTGAAAGAGTCTGTGACATTTCTACTAATGTAGAATTTGACCTAATACCTCTTTCGTTCTTCCACTGAAACAATTCTGTTTACCGCTGCAGGGGGTAGAGTTTGCCATTTTAAATGCATCTATCTCACTGATGATGCAACATTTTCCGAATGATTCCTTAAAAGTGGGCCAGTGATAATGTCTACATTTGGTTTGTAAGAGTCGAATTGAGGCGGTGTGCCATGCCTTTGGGTATTTTTCTGAGTCTCGCAGACTGCTTTTTAAACATCAGTGATTTCTACTGTAGTGTGTGCATGTGCATGATTGTGTGTGTGTCTGTATTATGCATTTGTGCAGAATAAAATTAATGTATCCACACCCACAGACACACAAACAAAAGGTGCAAGAATTCGATGTTTGCACAGTGGATTCCTGTTGATAGAGCAGCACTATTCCCACAACCCACAGAGAGGGACAGCCTATGTGGGTGGTGGGCTGTCAGTCAAATCCTTATGTACAAGCGCAAGTGATCCATGAAGGGAGTTTGAGATTTCACTGTCATCCTCAGACTGGTCCACTGCAGATCCCCCCACCCCCACCGCACCCCACCTTCTGACTCTGTTTCTGCTCCACCGGCCACAAAGGCTGCATACTTTGTGCATGTGGCTAGAGCTGACTGCAAATCATTGAGGTGAACAAATAAGGTAGCCTCAAGATAGCCAGTGTCCCTCCCTATTTGTTGAAGCTAATTCTGCACAGTGCCATAAGGTGTGTGTTGAGTGGGTGTTACCCGCTTTACTACATTGGGGTGGAGGGTGTTGTTTTATTTGTTATTGTACTGAATCCCAGCACACCGTGTAAATGTGGTAATGGGTAATGTAAAGCATAACATTAGATTACTACCACCTGGTGCTACTGATGCTGCATCTGCTCCTGCTGCAGTACCGCTACCTGCCGCTGGATGCCACCGATGCATCCTGAGCACATTCAGCGCTCTCCATGGTGCTGAAACAATTACCAGAGCAAATCCTCAAATGCGCAATCTAAAGCTTAATGTGCAAAAAGTGTGCTTAAAGAAATTTAACCCAGCCTACATTGTAATTATAACCCGCTGTAATCACGGGCATTAAATCATGTGTCAAAACAGCTGCCGATGTTTACTGATGACCCTTTCAAATCCACCTGTGGGACTGAGTCACAACAGGGGCTTTGATTAGCTGCGTGGGGGAAAGGTGTGCAACAGTTAACTGTACATACTTTGCACAAACTGAAGGAAAAAGACAGTGAAGCACGGAGCGATGTTTCAGTGCTCCTCATGGGAGAGTTGTGGGATGGCGCCATGCAGAGGTGAGTGCCACGCGGAGGGTCTCGACCATCCAGACCTGTCCATCGCTCCAGTGTCGAGGGACCAGCATCAAGTCAGTCACCGGTAGCTACAATGATACAGGAAATAAAATGAATTACCTCACAAATAAAAGAAGTACGTGTGTTTGTTAAAGAGCTTTTCAATTTATATGCTCGACGGAAAATTGGCTAATGAGATTGTCAGAAAAAAAAACTTCATCTGGGACACAGCCCAAATTCTCCGGCGTGTATTGTACAGCCAAATGAATAAGGCGTGTTAAAGGAGCGAAAATTTCAGAGAAGGAAAAAATCACCTCACGTTTTTCCAAATCTAAAGGGAAATAAATAAATTCTTCTTTTCTTCTATATTTACTTACATTTATACTTCTAGTTAATAGTTTCTTTGTGTTTATAGACCCTTTCAGAATATAATTAGGCAACATTAGTGTCTGCTTGTGAAGGACTGTGATTGTAAGTAATTTGCAATTTGGATGTTTGACATTCGCGCTTGGATTTTTCTTCTTTTAGTGTTTGTCCCCACTGTTAGAATCGGTTGCTCGTTGGCGGGGCTATTATTTTGAAAAGATTAGCCGGACGTTCAGCACTTCACCTGAGCCAGCTCGCCTCGTGAGAACTGAACTATAAGACCGGCTGGCTGGTTGGCCACACTCGCGCTGGGTGCGCTGCGAAGTTAAATCGACTACGAAGCTGTCTCTCCTCTTTTAAAACCAAGAGAGCGAGCGACTATACCGACCGACAAACAAACATCTTCCCTCACATGTTTTATCAAACGCCATTTTTTGTGCGTTTTTTCTTTTTTTTTCTTTTTTGGTGAAGGACTCCAGAGCTTCGGCGCAACCCGCGGCGACTTCTCCTTCACCGTGCTCGCCTGGAGACGGAATATAACGCTTTAATGACATTTTCACTCCCGGATAAAGAAGCTCACTGAATGAAACTTTAGACTTTGTCTTCTGGATAGGTGAAGAAGCTCCGCTGTTTATTTTTCTATCTGTAGAAAAGGCGTGTTGTGCTGTGGACCGCTGTATGGGACGCACTTAAAAATGGTCGGTCACCTCAAGTTCCAGGTCGGGAGGTTAACAACGATGTCAGGACTCGCTGGTTTTGGAAAATGATTGCTGGCAGCACCGACGCTAAAATAATGGTCAGAAGATGTCTAGTAACGTTCAAACCGTTCAGGTGAGAACAAAGAGCTGACACAGTTTTCTTATAGCCTCCAGCATCGTGTGCATTCCCCCCTCGCTGCGTTTATGTTTAGCATGCAGTTTTATTTTTTGCTTGTTTTGTTTTTTGCTTTGTTTTTCTGACTGACTCAACTTCTGGCTGCACAGAGTTGCAAAGCCCTGAAAAAATACAGTAATTCGGCAATGTGCACATGGAGGGCAGGGAAGGAGTGCATACATGTGTTGTCACTCATCAAAACACCCACACACCAGATGTTCCTCCTATCAATTCCACCTAAATCCATATGGATAAAGACTGTAAATGTTGATAGAGGGTCTGCACTATTTGCAAACCGTGCTCTAACTTGCTGTAGTTTCATATTGCGTGGATCGCTGATCTACACCTGTGTGGCTCTGTTGCATTGGACAGGATTCCTTACATATGAATAAAAGAGTTTATACTCAACTGAGCAGATCTGTCAGCCCTTCCTATTAAATTTTCTCTGATAGTGGCAGATTTTAAATCCTTAAGGTAATCTGTCCCCCTCCCTACAATTTGCCTTATACCCAGTTTCCATTGCTGAAAGTGTTACATGTATGTAGTAGGGTAAGGGAACAAAGCTGTGCAATCTTTGAAGAAAAAAAAAGGGGTGGGGGTAGTAGGATGGGGGTGGGGTGATGGTTACATTCATGTTGCATGGAATTACTTCACCTGCCATCTACTCGGTAGATCAAGCATTAACTCAGAAACACATTCAGCTAAGCAGCTTTGTGATAAAGCCACACTAACCTCGACAGCACAGACAATGAGCGCTTGTTGCAGATTTGTGTAGTATCACATTTGAAATTATGCCAGATTCCATTATGTTTTTCCCTTAATTGAGAAAAAAAAAGCAGGTTGGTGAGATGAAGGTTCCCAGGCTCAATGCACAGATCCCCGAAAAAGCACAATAGTTGCAGTACATTAACCTTAAGTGATACCCCAAGGCTCAAGCCAAAAAAAAGTGCCAAAATGATACATGTGGAAACATAACCTCCAGTGAATTTTTATATGGTTCCGTTTCTGTGTATTAACTCCACAAATTAAGAGTCATTATGAGAATTTAGGCTCATTTAGGTGCCAGGAAAAGTTTCCTGGAAAACACCACAAGTAACACCTATTCCCTACCATGCCTGGTAGAAATTCTCTCCCTTCAAAATCATCTACCTAGAGGCAAAATCTGATAAGTATATTTGTGAGGAAGCCAGTTAACTGATAGCACATCTCTCCCTCTGATCCAATTATAAGGAGCAGAACATTCACTTTAAGCCTGTTAATTAAAGCCTCGTCAGGCAGGACCGGGGCATAATCCTCTCATATCACCCACCTAACGCCACTTCGCAAAAACGGCTAAACGATAAGAGAGGAAACGTTTGCCCTAGGACAGCATTAGACCAGCCTCTGCACTCCCGCGTGAGCTGAAAATCTCTTTTTCTCTTTCCATTAGCCTGTTTCTTACAAACATCACTGCCTCTGCCTCATCCTCTGCACACTCACACACACAAAATATTCCTGCATCTGGGATAAATTATAAAGAAAAGATAAAGTGGATTTAAAAAAAAACAACCTTTGTGTTTAGCTATAAAAAAAATTGTCTCTGAGTAACCCCTTTATCTTTTCCAAACTGTCACTGCCCCACCTCCCCCCCCCCCCCTTATCGCAATATTACAAAGCACCGACAAAAACAATGATTTCCAAATAACAGGCCATCTTCAGTAAAGGCCTGTACCAGATCGGGTTGACTTTTCTGCTTTCCTCACTGGTTTTCTGAGCAGATGTTTGTAGAGTAAGTGCATAATCCATGCAGGTGTAAGTATCTTCGGATCACGGCCTCACAGCGATGTCGAATAATCTCTTGATCACAATGACTGTATGGGTTTAAAGTCACATCGCATATTGAAGTGTTGCAGTCTGTTCCTCTGACAGTGATCAAGCTGTTCTAATACATTCCATAATATGCATGGAACAGATGGGG